AAGAAATACTATATTAGACATATTTAATTTATCATATGATTTTAGTATATATATATTTTTTATCAATCTTTGTTTCAAATTTTATTCCCAGACTTCTTCATTAATTGCCTGCAAAGAATGAATTGTATGTAAGCAAAAACTGAAAAGAGCTGCAGTGTCCAAGAGGCTTGGGTTTAAAAACATTAGAGATCTAGATTTTATCAGATCCATAAACAAAAACAATTTTAAAAAGCAGTCATAATATAAAATAGCAGCTCCCAGTAACTTCTTCCAAGTTATATTTTCTTCAGAAGCTGACTCAATTCAGCTTGCCTCATTCTTAGAAGCCTCATCAAAATTCTCCACAAGATCTGGAACTTCATCAACATCATCCTCTCCAGTAGCAAGTGGTGATTTTCCATCCACAGATTGTTTGGGCAGAGCTTCAGCCAGTCTCCTTAAACTAGTCAGACTGTCTGCACCAAGCTGGTTCAAGATGCTGGGTAGCATTTCTGTCAGCTGTTTCATCTCAGCATGGCCTGTAATGGTGAAAGTGTTTGCTGTCAGAGATGCCTGAACTTTTAGGTTGTCGAAGTGGATCACTGTTCCTTGGTTTGTAAACATATTCACCTCTTCAGTAACAGAGATATTGTTTACCCCTATCTTCTTTAATGAGAGCTGAAGTTTTTTATCATCTGTTGTAGCTGTTCTATGAACCACCTTCTTCTTCCTGAGAGCAGTTCCTTTCCCACCAATGCACACTTGTGCCTGCAATTTGGTGAGTTTTTCCTGGTTCATGATAGTTTCTTTCATCTTGTCGGAGCGGTTATGGGGAAGCGCAGGGGACTAGGGCTGGCGCTCAGGGGGTCTCGGGCAGACCACCTGAGATTAGGCATACACACACAGGGACTCAAGATGGCAGCTACAGTATATTTTATTTAACATAATATATTTAAAAATTTACCACTTCAAAATGTAACCAAAACAAAAATTATCAATGAGATAGACTACATTCCTTTTTTTTGCACTAATTCTTTGAAAACCAATGTGTATTGTATATTTATAGCTCAACTCACCTCCCCATATTTCAAGTGCTCAATAGCCATATACAGCTAGTGATTCCCTATTGTACAGAACAGTTCTAGATATTACTAAAATATCTGCCTAGTCACTGGTACCAATACAAAAGTTCCAATTGCATATCCTCACTAACAGCTAGTGCTATCAGATATTTTCAGGTTTTTTGCCAATCTGAACAAAAGAACATTAGTAGAAAAACTGAGAAAATCTGATTCATTTCTAGAGTTTGGTTAATAGTTTTATGCTGATGTTAATATCCTGTTTTGCTGATTATAAAAATGGATGTATAAGATGATAAAGTTAAGGGAAGTAGTGAAAATTATACTCTGTCCTACCCTGGCAAGTCTTCTATAAATCTAAAATTACATTAAAATAGAAAATATTTAAGAATCAAACTCTGATTAACTTTGAATTACATTTCTTCTGCAGATCACCAGACCAGGTGGGTCACTTAATCATCCTTCTAATGCACGAATTGTTACATGCTAATTCAAAATATTTTTATTTAAACTACAATAGTAAAATACTACTGATCCCCCTCTCAGTTAACTCCATCGGTAATAAACATCTGACCAGATCATCCTATGTCTCAGTGAACAATAGAAGTAAGATAAAAAGATGCATTAAGCAATCTCTCAGAACAAAATGTAAGACCTCTATAGTGGAATTCCTCATCTTTTTTATTTCACATTAATTTTCTGTACTTCTGTAATAGTACTGATTTTAATCTATTGTGTGTTAGTCAGCTTCCCATTATTGTAACAAATAAATACCTGAGATCGTTAATTGAAAAATTTAAAAATATATTCTTGGGATCATAGTTTTGGAGGTACTATTCATGATCAAATGCTCCTGTTGTTTGGGGGCCTGGGAAGTACAGCATATCATAGCAGAAGTACATGGCAGAGCAAAACTGCTCTGCTTATGGGCAGAATACACAGTAGAGAAAGGACAGGGCTGGGGTCCCAGTATCCTCTTCAAAGGCCTTCCCAAAATGACCTGAAGACCTCACATCTTAAAGGCTCCACCACCTCCCAGTAACACTACACTAGAGATCAAGCCTTTTCCACGTGGACCTTTGGAGGACACTGAGATCTAACCTACAGCACTCAGTAATAGACATATTATGCAATTAGTATGCAGCCCTTTTCTCTACTGAGTAAATTTTCTAAAACTATATTCTCTTCAATGCAGTACAATAGTTATTAAACTGAATCAATGACAATAATATTCCAACACTTAAGAATTTACTATAAAAGTTAAGATAACATATTCTTCCTTTCACTTGAACTTATCTTTTACCATAAAACTTTATCCTTCCCCCACATTATTCCTCAGAAGTCTTCAAATTGCTTCTTAGTAAATAAAGATTTTAGCTAAAAAGAAAAAAGAATAACCAACACTTTCTTGCCTGTGCCTATTGCTGCCCTACTTACAGTTACTTAGAAATTGTGGTCTCTTGAGCCCACTGCCAGGCTCTGTGAGGAGCGTGAGCAGGGCCTCCTGTGAGGAAGCTGTGGTTTGTCTTGAACTCTAGGCCTTGGATACCAGCAGCTCTGCCACTGTCAGACCTGAGAGTCACCCACAGAGCTTTCTATTAGGCACTTTCCTGATCATTATTTGTCCTCTGGTCAGTCCTTAAGAGGTACTTACCATAATTCATAATTGAACTTCCACTCAGCAATTACTCAATTTGACCTCAGTTTAATAATAAAGAGCAAAGTAAATCCACCTTTAAGATGAGATGGCCAGGTCCAAAAGTTATCAACTGTTCAGAGTAAACACTATAAGGGGCTCATTCTGAAGTGATAACCCTGCTGCAAAGGAATTCCTCTTTAACCATTGCAGTAACTAATTAAAATAAATAAAGAATAAATACTTGAATTCTACAACCACCCAGGAGGACTAGGGAAGACAACATGCTGAAGAATGCTGGAAAAGCATCATTCAGAGAGAGCGGGGTAGCGATGGGGATATCAATCTTCATTTAATTCATAATTGCATTTATGACATTATACTTTTCAGTCTGAATTTTTCAAGGTGAAGGTTTCCATTAGCATGTCCTCCCCATCTAAAAAGACATAACTCCCAAACATAGTGCATACACGATGTTTGATAGATACACCCTTGTGTCTGCAGCCATAGCTTTCTTTTCTAAAGCTGTGTGTGTCCTGATTAAGAACCTTACTGCTTGAAAGTGCAAGGCTTCCACACTGAGTAAAGAATGCTCAAACGAGGTAACAGAGCAAGGATCTGTCTTGATCAAATGCAGCCTATGACTAATTGTGGTCAACAGCTTGCACCCTAGCATTTTCCAAAGTGCTGCAGCCTTTTATTTAGTCAGTGAGACAGAATGGCCTCAGTTGCCACCATCCTGGAAGACAACTTGAGAAACCGTCAGCTGGAACACATCCCTCACATCAGATGTTGTTGGGGAAGTTCAAGAGCAAGACTGAGAAGGAGCATTCATCTCTGAGGACAGAGCAATGTATTCATTATGCACATGTTCTCATACATGCAGCTTTGGAGTCCACTGTACAGAAATTTGATCTCAGTTTACGGGACAGGAAAGCCAAAGGGTGGTACTCCAGTTCTTGGCTGACTCAAAGCCAAGGCTTTGCAACACATGGAGGATAAATGTTTAAAAAGGGAAATTTCCTAGAGAGATTTTATTTTAACTATGTTTAATACTTACAGTAACAATGGGTCACTCTCAAAGGTACCCAACTAATATTCCAGACATTCATTGCTGTTACTAAAACATCTTCTGTCACTCTTATCCAAGGATGCACCTCAGTACCAGCTGTTTCTTCAGTTTTCTAAGTTTAAAAAAAAAATCATGCTAAAAAAGAATTCTAGTCAGAGGAATTATTGCTATTTCTATCCATCAATTTGCTGGAAGTTTTATAGCAATTAAATTCTAGTAGCTATGAAATGATCACATCTTAAGGTGGATACCCCACAGGTAATGGACTTAAGGACACTGATTGTGTATACACAAAGAATAAATTTTAAACCAGTGCACTGTCTCTGATCTTTTGTCACTTACTTAGCCTTTAAAGGTACTTACTGCAAGGGCAGAGCCTGAAGACGGCCTTTCGCCTAATCCCTATTCCCTTTCTCCTCTATAGACTAGATAGTCAAACAGACTGTGTCTGTAAGATTGTAGACCTGAATGGCACAGCCCCAGGGGACACTTACATTATGTATACTTCCCTGTTCCCTTCCTGTACATGCTAGTTCTGCCTAGGCCATTCAGGCCATGTAGCACTATTTGCCCTGCCTTCTCTTCCTGTTTGCCTTCCACTATAAATAAAAAGTGCATGGAACACCAGATGGCCATTAGCTCATCAGGCTATAATTCTACCTGGTCGCAGTTTTCAAGCATAATCTTGTTATGTATCTTTCTTTCTTGTTATTCTTCAAGTTTCTTCATCTCCCACCATTCTTCCTGACTTCAGACCCTATGCTGTGCAGGTCGCAGCAACTTATGATAATTTACAATGTAATTTCTACTTAACAAATAGTCAACATAAACTCAATTTAAAATAAATAGCAGAAGAATGGTGTGATAGAGCCAGTGGACCTTTGAAAGAAAAATAAGGAAGGATGAGCAGTTATGTGTGTGAATATAAAATCATACACACAGGGCCAAAAATTCTAGTTCCAAAACTTGCTAACTCTATAAGCTCAGGCAAATTGCTTAACCTCTCAAACCTTTGGTACCAAACGAGATTTAGTAGTTGTTTTCTCTTAGAGTCATTAGAAAGATTGATGGATATACAGAAAAGTACTTGGTGAGTTCTCTGTATGCATTTTCTGTATCCAAGTGTTTTTAAAAACAAACTCTAGGTCCAGATATTCCACTGTAAAATAGTATCTCATAGTGTTGTATTTAAGACTGAAAACACATTTATACCCTAAAGATCTATAATACAAATATACATTTTTAAACCTATGTACCTTTCCAATAAAGATCTGAGATTCTTTATGATAAACATAATTTGTCTAGGATAAAATATAAATGAAGTAAATTATTTAAACAATTTTAAATCATATATAAAAATAAAAACAAAGGTAAAGTATATATCACATTTGGACACATGTGTCTACATAAACAAGTAATATATGACCATATCAGCAAAGACATTTGAGAATTTGCCTGAATATGGATATCTTCCCATCACTGTGTTTTCAATATATCACGTGAAAACAAAATCAACCCAATTCCTGGAAATGACCATTTGATGTGAACTGGTATGCAGAATGTCTTGTATAGCTATTTTGTATATCTTTTTCATCTTTTTTTTAATCTATTTCCTGCACTGCAAAGAAACTGACACAGGATGCTTATGAAACAAGATTTAATTTTTCAGTCCATATGTGTTACAACTGAACATCAGAAAGCCCCTAGATTTCACAGAACTAAATTTTAGCATCTTTCTAATGGAAACCCCCTTGGTATGCAGAGTTCTCACATGGGATTGTATGATTAAAGTCAGTCTCATGCTTCTCTACCAGCTTACTGCCATCAAAGTCTCTTTTCAAGCTTTCACTTTGGCACAAAATACTGTTGTACCAAATGATCTTGAAATGTTAACTTTAAAATCCAACATACCCGGTAAGAAATCGTCAAAGTAAAGTTTATAAAAAAATTCTTAAAGTAATTGTGTACCAGATGAATATGAGATCCAAAAATAATTAGACTGATTTTGGGTGAGGGATATTCAATGAGGCATGCAACTCATAAATCAAGTCTTAAAACTCGCATGGGATGATAAATTGCCATTCCAATTTTACAGTGAAGG